GTCGGATTGTGCATATTACTTTTTGAAAAGTGGTATTTCAGTTTGTATTCAAATTCCAGTTAGTTAACATAAAATGTAATATTAGTCTCAGGTGTACAATGTAACACTTCCATACATCAATAAAATGTGGCTGAAGTAGCACGGCAAGACTTCTCAATCGGGCCACAAATATCTACGCAGCTTCTACCATGGTCCTGGAAGGTTTGGTCTAAGGGAAACTACCCACCATGTAGGGATCTGACTTCCCTGAGACCACCATAGTGTAAGGAAGCCCAAGGTGGCAACATGTGAAGAGACTACATGGAGAGATGGAGGAAGGGAAAAAAGGAGAAGGGACAGAATGAGAGAGGTGGGACTCAGGAAGCTGACAGATACATGAGTCTGGGATACCATGGGTCTTCTATAAGCCTCCTTTATCTTCTCTTCTTATGGAAACAGTATCAGTTAAACCAGGTACAGGCTGCAGAGCTACTCTCCCACTATTCTCACCATGTTCCTTATCAATGATCTCTCCTCAGGACTAGACAGAAATCAGACAGGTGTAGATGTTCAGATCTATCAGTAACTCTGGCCTCCTTTACTTAGTAGGGCCGCAGATAAATGAGGTTAGCTTTAAGTAACTTGAAGAATGCTCTGAAATATAAGGTTCAGTTTTACCCTCTTCGCTCCACAGTTACTCCTGACCAGTTAGATAGCATTACTGAGTGTCCACCACATGCGTCCCAAGTGGACAGGAGCTGTGCCCAGCCTTGACAAGCCAAGATCCAGAGGAACACAGACAAGTAAACAGGACATCATCCCATGGGTTTCAGGGGCAGAAGGGTGTTGAGGACTAGTACTGAGGAAACACATGGGAGAGGCAACTGACCCCATCTGTCAAGGTCTGGAGGGTTCACAGAAGCAATGGAAATTAACCATAGACCAAAGGGCTACAGGGATGAAGACAACATGTGCCTGTCTTGTCTCTGGGTGTAGAGGCACATGTGCCTAACATGTGTGTCTGGAGATGGCTGGAGAGACAAAGAGAAAGCACACAAATATCCCACAGCCAGGAAAAACGTGCCCTTCAGAACGATGTACAGAAAGGCTTGGGGCAGCAGGTGGAACGCCTGAATTACCAGTTTCCACTCTCACAAGACAATTCACTCACCTTCTGAGTGTCTTAACAGTGGGACTATACCTTTAGGCTGTACTCCTCAGCAAGGAGATTATGAAATCTGAAAAGGATTTTTTTATTATGGTAAAATATACATAACATTAAATTTACCATTTTAAACATTTTTAAGTATGTGATTCTACGACATTAAGTATAGTCACATTGTTGTGCAACCATTACCACCACTGATCTCCAGAACTTTTTCATCTTCCCAAACAGAAACACTGTACCCATTAAACACTAACTCTCCACTCCCTGCTTCCTGGGGTCCTGCAACCTCCATCCTACTTTCTGTGTCTGTGAATTTGACTAGGTACCTCATATGAGTGAAATCATAAAGTGTCCTTTTCTGACTAATTTCACTTAGCATATTGTCCGCAAGGTTGATCTACGTTGTAGCATGTGTCAGAATTAACACCTTTTTAAGGATAAATAATATTCCCTTGAATGTATATGCCACAATTTGTTTATCCATTCATCTGTCAATGGATATTTGGGTTGTTTCCACCTTTTGTCTATGCTATGTCCTTAGGTTCCTGCTATAAACATGGGTGTACAAATATTTGTTCAAAACACTGCTTTCACTTCTTTTGGGTCTATACCCAGAAGTGGATTGCTGGATCATATAGTAATTCTATGTTTAATTTTTTGAGGACTCACCCTACTGTTTTTCATAGCAACTGCACCATTCTACATCCCCATGAACAGTGCACAAGAGTTCCAATTTCTCCACATCCTCACCAATACTTGTGATTTTATGTTTTCTTTTTGTTTTGTTTCTAATTCTAAATCTCCTACTCATTCTAATGAATAGGAGATGGCATCTGCTGGTTTTGATGAAAGGGATTTTAAAAAGATCAGCTGGTTCATCCTGGTCTAGGGCATTCTACATACAGTAACTTACTATGCAATTCTCCAAAGCCTGCAGCAAATTCAAACACATGACCCTCCTGAGATTGTTTCCACAAAGCCTGCTGGAGGGCAGGATACCACCCTCATGTCATCAGACTCCCTGGGCATCCTCACCTATGTGCACAAAAATTCTAAAAGTTGTAACTGGCTTCCACAAATGCTTTCACACCCAATGATTACCTTGTTTTCTCTTACTAAGTTCTGCTTTAACTGAGTTCTAACACTAGAAATGATCTGTGTGCCCTCTTCCCTCTTCCCATGCAGAGTCCTTCAAAGGCTCCCCAGGAGTCAGGCAGTCCACCATGAGCTTGTGTTATGGAGAATGCTCCTGGACTATCTGGGTACTCCATTCACTGGGAAGGCCCTTTCAAAAGTTCATGAAAGTTTGTAACAGAGGAAGCCTTGCCCCAAAACCCCCAGTAGAAGGGCTGAGACCAGAACTTACCTCTCCTGAAGCTAAAACTCCAAAGAAATGCTCTCATGTGGCAATTCGTTTAAAGTTGAAACTTTCAGGGGGCGCCTGGGTGACTCAGTCTGCCTTTGGCTCAGGTCATGATCCCAGGGTCTGGAATGGAGCCCCACATTGGGCTCTCTGCTCAGCGGGGAGTCTGCTTCTCCCTCACCCTCTCCCTCTCCCTCATGCCTGCCGCTCACCCCCTGCTGTGCATTCTCTCTGTCAAATAAATAAATAAAATCTTAAAAAAAAAAAAAAAGGAAACTTTCAGTGAGGTTTTTATAGTGTAAGAAACTGACCAGTCTCCTTTAATGCAAGAACTTGACTTCCTAGTTCTTAGCTACCTCTTTCCTCCTATCTCCTCCATTTCAGGCATTTCATAATAGTCAACTCTGCTGCTTGTTAGCAGAGGTGGGAAAAGATTTTAGGGAGAGTAGAGTCTAAAACTGCATATCCTCAATACCTACAACAGTGCCTGGCACATAATAAGAGCTTCATGAATATCTGCTGAACAAATCAAAACTAAATTTATCAAAACAAATGTATACGTCTGTCTTCCATCACTATGAGCAACCCAACTAACTTGAATCTGTGGCAGTGGGTGGTAAGTGGGAAAGTATAAAATTAGCAAATATCACATTTTCACTTTTATTAATTTAAAGGGGCAGTATGTAGTTATAAATAACAGTATCAGTCATGGCTGGGTTTTCTGGTCGATTTGTTTCTTATTTTCTTATTCACTAATTCCCTCAAACACATAAGCTGAACTAAAATAACACTTTAGTTTACTCAATAACTGTTTTTTATTAACTAAAGTCTGTATTAAGGTTTCCTTAGATTTTCCCTAATACTGTCATGTGTCCTTAGACTTCTGTGACAGTCTCTCAGACTTTACAACCTCAGCAAAGGACTGGTCAGACATTTTGCAGACTGTTCCTCAATTCATGTCTGTCTGATGTTTTTCTCATGGTGAGACTGGGGTTGTTTTTGGAAGGAGCACCACAGAGGTGGAGTTCTCCTCCCACACATTTTACCCATGGGCACATGTGTTGTTTATTTTTGAGTCACAGCAAACACTTCACACTGATAGGTGCTCCCTGAAAACTACCACTGCCGGATGTGTCTTCACATCTGCATCCTAAGGAAGTCATACTTGCTTTTATTTAGATTTTATGTAAACTTCAGTGTTTTCACTTCGAAGTTTAATTCTTTAAACGAATATCCATGATTTTATGTTTTCATTTGAGATTACAGGCCCCTTTATCTCTTTCCTGAAGGGACTACTGGCTCACCATCCAAGACACTCTGAGAAAGTTTCACCTGTGTTCTGGAATCAAAACTATTAAATAAGTTTATTTATTCTCAAACCCATGACCTGGTGGTCTCATTTTCCCCAGAGAACTCAACACCATTCTTATGAAAATACAGCTAACAACCACAAGATTCTCTGTCCTGGAAGCAGGATTTCTTTTCAGTTTCAAAGCATGTTACATCTTGCATTCTGTAAACTGTCTCAGACCTCTCTTAAAACAGAGGGACGCTGGCAAAGAACTATGCTGCATCTCTTACTTTCCACATTACTAAGGAGTGGGGTTTGGTGGTGTATCCACCAAGAGAATACTAAGTTGGTCCTTTTTTTGCTTTTTAAAAAAAATCTGCCCTTCGCTTTCTTCACATTAAGGATCACTTGTAATCAGATGGCTCAAGTCTAAACCAGAGTGGCTCAATCAAGACTCCAGGAACAGAAGCTAAAGAAAAGCACAGACCTTTTGCTTGACCCTGAGAGTGAGCGCCTCCTTGGCCCACCTGTCCCGCCCTGGCCTGCCTAGTGCACAGTTCTTATTTCTGCACTGGCGTGGCCACTGCAGCGTGGCGGGGGAGGGGGGGGCGCAAGTGAGCAGGTCTTGCTCTTCCAAGTGCACTCAATGCTGGGGCCATAGCCAAGGCGAAAGGGCCGTCGCTCCTTCTGGGGAAGCACTGCGCTTCGACCATTTCGGGGACACTATAAACGGGAAGGTTTCCCTAGCAGCGGATGGGTACGGGTGACAGGGACGCCTGGGCTCCAACCGGAGGGCAGGTTAGTAGTAGGCTGCGCGGCTGCAGAGGGAGTGGGAGGGTCTGGGAAGGAAGACAGAAGTCAGCTAGAGAAACCCTATCAAACTGAACAAGGCCTCTCCAGCCGCTAGGGAGGGAGAAAAAAGGTGGGGGAGACACAACTACCAGGGCGGGCAAAACACGGCAGCGCCTGTTACGCTTCTGGGGCGCAGGGCCGCGACCGTGCCTGCGCTTCAGGTGGGCGAAGAGCCTCCCGCCCGCGCAGCCCGCCCCCACCGAGGTGCTCCGCCTTCTGCCTGGGCCCGGCCCTGAGCGGCGACGCAAACACCCCCAACATGCGGCCGCTCCCCTTTCCACCGCCCGGCGGCTGTTCCCTCCACCCCCACCCCCGACCCAGAGCACAGCCCGCGCGGCCCGCCCTACCTCGCCGCTTGGCGCGCACGATGCCCTTTTTTTGAAGCACGAACGTGGACCCATTCACCAGGCTCGACACGACGGCCACGCCCAGGCCGAGCGACACGGCGGCGGGGCTCGGGCTGCGCGCCCCCTCCCCGGCCGCCGCCGCTGCCGCCGCTGCAGTCCCCATGCCGCCCGCGCCCGCCCTCCGCGCCTGCGCCTGCGCGCCGCGTGCGCCTGGGCCGGAGGTGGGGGTTGGGGGGTGGACCCGCGAGTCCGCGGAACCCCGACAGAGTGGAGGCTGGCGTTGGGATCCGAGCATTCGCCGGGCAGCGACGGAGTCGGGGGTGGGGAGGATTCCGAGTTCCGCCGAGGCGGAAAAAAGGACGAGGGGAACTTGGGCTCCGCGACAAGTTTGCGGTGGGGGAACTCGGGGCTAGACGAGTGGGGGAGGAGCCCGGATTCCGCGGACCCGGGAGATGGAGGATGGATCCGGGGCTCCGGGAGGATAGTGAGAGTGGAAAGGAGAAGAGTGACAGTGAGGAAGGAATTGAGAGAGGGGAGTGGTAAGAGGGGCGGTGTTGAGGAAAGGGAAAAGGCGGTAGGTGGGTGGGTCGAGGTAGGGTTCCCAGATTTGCCAAATGAAAATACAGGAATCCCACTAACTTTTATCGCAGATAAATAATTTTTTAGTATGGGTCCCATGCAATACTTCGGACCAGAAGGGGACCAGCAGGACGCAGTCTTTGCTGGGATCACGATCCCCACAAAGCCTCTAAGGAGAGGCCAACTGGGAATCTGGTAGGGCCTGAAATCTGGACGACTCAGCTGTGGACACTGAAATGGGACCGCTGACGGGGGTGAAGTCAAGTTGCCTCCACAATGGAGCAGTGAGCTTGTAACCGTACTGTCTAATTTCCTAATTTATTTTCAATAAAATGTATCAAAATTAGGGAACGAGGAAATAGTTACTTAAAAATTCCACAATCCCACAACCCTAGCCTAATTATTATTTAGGTCTTTTCCCTTAGGATACATACTTTTACGTATTTCCAATTACAATATACAAAATAGCCATTTTATTTAATGTCATAATCAGTTTCCGTGTTGCTACATAATTATTATTTTAATGACAGTATAATTTCTAATAAAGTTAATTACCATAATTTGTCCAACTATTTAGCAATTGTTGGTTATTTGGCTACCAGGTTTTTTTCTATTATAAATGATGATGTAATAAACATCTTCATAATTTTGAAACTAGGTTAAAGTGTATAAATCTATATCTACAGCATTATTAGTTTGTGGAGCAATATGAAATCTTATACTATTCTGTATGAAAACTTTCATGCTGAATGAATCTAGCCCATTGTTTATTCTTTTTTCTTGTAACATGCAGTTGACTCTTGAACAACCCCAGTTTGAACTACTTGGGTCCACTTATGTTTTTTACAATATAGTACTATAAATGTATTTTTCCTTCCTTATGATTTTCTTGATGTTTTCTGTAACTTACTTTATTGGAAGACTACAGTATATAATACATATAACATATAAAATATGTGTTAATCTTCTGTTTATGTTATTGGTAAGGCTTCTGCTCAACAATAGGTTATTAGTAGTAGTTAAGCTTTTAGGGAACCAAAAGGTATACATAGATTTTCCTGTGCAGGGAAAGAGTCGGTGCCCTTAACCCCCACATTGTTCAAGGGTCAGTTGTATATAACATAAAACTTTCCATTTTAACCATTTTTTAATGTACAATTCACTGGCATTAATTATGTTGACAATGTTGTGCAACCCTCACCACTGTCTATTTCTAAAACTTTTCCATCATCTGAAATGGAAACTCTGTAGCCATTAAGCAGTCATCCCCATTTCTCCTTCCCCCTACTCTTTGGTAATTTATAATCACTTTCAGTCTCTAGGAATTTGCACATTTTAGATCTTTTGTTTAAATGGAATTATACAATATTTGTCCTTCTGTGGCTGGCTTATTTCACTTAGCTTCGTTTTCACTTGGTTCTAAGGTTCATCCATATTGTAGCATGTGTCAGAACTTGATTCCTTTTTATAGCTGAGTATTATTCCATTGTATGTATATACAACATTTTGTTTATCTGTTATTTGTTGATGGACGCTTGGGTTGTTCCCACCTTTCGGCTTTTGCAAATGATATTGCAAAGACCATGGGCAGGAAAGTATCTGTTTGAGTACCTGACTTAAAATATTTTGGGTATAGTGTACCTAAGAGTGGAATTGCTGAGTCATATGGTAATTCTATGTTTAGGTTTTTGAGGAACTGCCAAACTTTATCATAGTCTCTGCACCATTTTACATTCCTACCAGCAATATACAAGGGTTCCAATTTCTCCACATTCTCACCAATACTTGTCATTTTCCAGTTGTCTTTTTTTTAATAGCCATCCTAGTAGGTGTGAAGTGGTTGCTTTTTCTTTTTAAATATACCTGTGAGCGTAAGTGATGTTTCCTGAAATAAGCAATTACTTCTATCATAAATCTCAGCAGAAGCAAGCAAATGAAAGCAGCAGCAACAGCATTGCCAACATAATCATAATTATTTACTTTTCTAATAATGCCAGTATTATTTAATATATGTTTATGTATATATGTATATTTTAAATAATGCTTTCAGAGCTTTTGGCAAAAAAAGTCATGCTCATTAAAAAAACAACTCAGTGAATTCAGTAAGTGCTAGAGAATATAAAACATCACCCCAAATTCCATCACCCTAAAATAACTATTATTACCATTAAGAACTCCACTCCAAACATTTTTCCAGATAAGTATATGAGTAAAAGGATAGACGTTATCAAATGGGAAGGCACATATGGTATTTTAATTTGAAAGCAAAAACTATATATTATTTGGATTTAACATTTAAAAAGCTGGAATAAAAATGAAGCTGAGATAAATACTATTCTACCACAAGAGACTCTAGTTCCTAAAAGATGCCTCTAAAATTGAGGTCAGTGAAAAACATTATGAGATGGGAGTTATTATGTTTCTCTTAACTCTTAACTCTTAGACAGTATCACTTGACTCCTTGCAATGACAAATGAGGAAATCAGCTCACTTACCAGCTCCTTGTGATTTTTTTTTTTTACTTTGTCAAGGTATATAACATTTAGAGACTATCCTGTATTAATAATTCTATATTTGTATAATCTTAAATATATATTTAACTGGGTTCATTATTCCATCATCCTTTAACCAATTTTTTCTATCTTTCAATTCACTAGAAAATTTTCACTGAACATATATTAAAAATGAACAACCATGGATGCTATAATCTTTGAGTTCTTTTTTTATGGAATGTTTGCCTGAAACACAAAATGGACAAATATAATATTTTCAAACTGTACTTTCTTTCCCTAAAATATTGTAGGCATTGTCTCATCTTCTGGCATTAAATGTTAAGAGTCTGAAGTCACATTGAACACAAATGGGGTTAATGTTAAAGAATGTTAATGTTAAAAAATGATTGTTAATTTTGTTGGGTGTGCTAATGAAATTGTGGTTGTATTAATATCTTTATTACAGACAATTACTGAAGTATTTATATGTGAAATGATTATGTTGGGGATTTGTTTTTTAAAATTTCATAATGAAATAAAATGAGTGTGTAGGCATATGTGTAAATGGATTTATCAAGCAAATGACACCTGTTACCACCTCGAGGCGAGTCCTACTGCAAAATGGTGTATGGATATCTGCCACCAAGAGCAGTAGTCACAAGATGTCTACTCACCCCATGGTTTATAAATGCCAGGGTCACCAAGAGAGACATGATTCACATAGGCACTGGATAGACCAACACTTAACTCTCACACAGAAGAAACAGAGCAAGATCAGCTTCAACAATGGGTTTTACTCTGTCATGGTCAACAGGTCCCAGCCTGTGGCCAATGTAGGGCAATGGTCTGCATTCACCCCTCTTTTGCCACAAGCTAAGGACCCCATTCCCTCCCTGCTGGGAATGGATATAGTAGTGGGGTTGGTCAAGTGCCATATGATGCACAAGCTTAAGCAGAAAAAGGAGTACACAGAATCTGAATCAGGGAAAGATATTGCCACACAAGGAGATAAACCCAGCATAAACTGCCAAGGCTCTATATGTCTTGAAAAAGAAGTATTCTAGGCCCTACAACCATTCTCATGCAGCCAAGCAGGGGTCAGAAGACTGTACACATGTGATTGCCTTTCCCACCAAGATTAAAAGAGTAAAAACACTAGAAAGTTGCTAATTAAGTTGGGCGACAAGTAAAAGTATATGAGGATTGCATGCTATTCTCTCTTTATGTGTTTGTAAACATTCTTTTTTTCTTTTTAAATAGGTTCCATGCCCAGCACAGAGGCTAATGTGGGGCCTGAACTCACAACCCTGAGATCAAAACCTGAGCTTAGATCAAGAGTCAGATGCTCAACTGACTGAGCCACCCAGGCATCCCTGCAAATATTCTTAATAGAAGTATTTGTGGGTTTTTTTTTAAACTCTAAAGTCAGCCTGATTTTGAAGAATATTTTTTTTATTTCTGTGTTTGAGAAGAGTTTAAATACAAATAAAGAGTCAGGAAAGATTGAATAATCTGTTTTTTTCCTTCATTATAAAATATTTCAAATGCATATCAAAGTGCAGAGAATAACACTTTAAAAAAGCCATGTACTCATCCTTTCAAATCTATCTAATCCTAATATTTTAATGTATTTGGCTCAAATTTTTAAGGGAAATATATAATAGCAAAGGCTCTCTTTTATTCCAACTCTCTTTCTTCTGCCTGGCATCTGCAGAATTAGTTATTATCCTTGAAGCTCAATAACTCATTTAGTATATATCACAGTATTGACCAATCTGTACCATTTCTTCTAGGACAAAGTGTATCCTTTCTTTTGTAGATTATTTTTCCTTCTTTCAGCAATTTTCTTTTTTTAAAAAAGATTTTATCTATTTATTTGAGGGAGAGAGAGAGAGAGAGAGAGCATGAGCAGGGGGAGGGGCAGAAGAGGAGGGAGAAGCAGGCTCCCATTTGAGCAGGGAGCCCAAGGTGGGGCTTGATCCCAGGACCCTGAGATCATGCCCTGAGCTGAAGGCAGACACTAACTGACTGAGCCACCCAGGGGCCCCCAGCGATTTTCTACCACTGTGTTTTTAAATATCCCCAAGATATC